CCCCCCCCCCCCGTCCCTGCTGCAGACTCAGCCAGATCTTCCTTCTGCCCTTCCAGGGACCGTTGGCGACTGGAGGAACCACTTCTCCCCCGAACAGAGCGCTCGATTCAACGAGAAATACCAGCAGGAAATGGGGGGCCACCCCTGGCCCTTCCGGTGGGACATGGACTGAGAGCAGCTGCTCCGAGGCCTCGATTGGCCTCTGCTTGTCTTAGGACGGCAGCTCCGGCATCGGACGGCCTCCCACTGGGAAGAGGAACTGGGAAGTTGCCCAGCAAGAGAGAATTCTTTCTCATTTGCTTTTTATGAAGAAAAGCAGGGGACCAAATCGTTTCTTTTGAGGAAGGGGGGAAGGAAGGCCACCAGCGAGACAGTTTCCGTGCTTAGAGTTAAGGGCTTGCTTGAGTCACACCAGTTGCTGGAAATCTTCTTTTCTTTCTTCAATAAACCTGACTTATTTGCAGTGTCCCTAGTGGTCCCCCCCCCCACTGCTTGTGCAGAGAGAGAGAGAAGAGTAGGCCAAAGACCACTGGAGGCCTCCCCTCCTCTCTTCCTGGCAAGCAAAGGGGGCTTTTTGGTGGGGTCTTAAACGGGCTTTCAGTGAGCTGGCGAGCGCACAGCTGCACAGGCATCCTTTGGCAGCTGCCTTTCCAGATGTGCCTGCCCCCTTTCCTCTTCTGCAAATGGACTGGCCAAAGTGTAGCATAAGAAGGGCCCATTGTCCCCAGTACACAGCAGGGTATTGTCCAGGATGAGAAGGACAGCCGGGTCTGCCATTCTAGAGCACAACCACCATGGAGACGCCAACAGGAGACACACTCAAGTAACCGCCTTCCTCTGGGCCTTTCTCCAGATGTGCCACAGCTTCTCCCTCTCCTGCCATCCTGTCCTCAGGGGAGTGGGTGGGAACTCCAGCTGAATGTGCTTGGAGGGGAAGACCAGGCTGGGAGAGGACCTCCTCTAGACTCCGTGTCCAACCGATGAAACATGGGGACTCCATGGGTGGAAAGCACCTTCTCCGGTCCAGCCCTGCAGAGAAGCCAGCAGTGTGGAAGAGAGCAGGAAACCTCGTCCTCTTTCACTATTAAGGTTTTCTGCTGAAATCCTGTGGTGGGAAGCATTTTCCTCCCCTTCTGTCCCTGGGGATGTTGTCCTGGCAGAGGAACCAGATCCTCAGTGGCAACTTCCTCCAGGTAACTCAAATTATTGCTTAGTAATACCGCCTCGCCCCCCCCTTCACCAGGCTTCCCTTCATCCCAGGAAGACGCTGCAGTGGGGACACATATTAAATCCAAAGACCTTTATTTTTATTTAATACAGCTAAATGTCATCTTTAATATGTTTTATCCAAGAAAGTACAGTAAACAGTTCAATAAAGGCAAGATGAAAAGGGTGTTCACAGAACATTTCAAACCATAGTTTAAAAAAAAATATCCAAAAAAAAGAAGAAGAAGCAGATTTGAAAGGTGATAAAAGGTATTGCTCATAAATCCTGCACATAATAACCAAGGCTGGGAAAGGCGCCCGGAGGGAAGGCAGGGGGAGGACCGGGCGTGGGGTGGGGGTCAGTAAGATGAACCGAAGGGCTCTGACATGCCACCCTAAACCCGCCTCTTCTCCACAGAAGCCCTGCTGACATTCCGGCCCAACCTTTCCACCCAGGGTCCTGAGCAGCCTTGGCAGAGCCCTCTTCCAGCCCAGCGAGATGAAGGTGCCCGCTGGGAAGAGTGGCAAGGGCAGCCCAAGGGGGGGGGGCTGCTTTGGCCATGGCTGGCTGGCTAATTAATTCCCACAGCAGAATTCCTGGCCTGACCGGAGCTGCCCTGCCTGCATTTCCAGGGTCTTGGCAGAGTGAGGCCCACAAGTCAAGACGAGCAAAGCTGCCTCTATTGTGGCACCCATAAAAACGGGCGGAGCTTCAGCCCCTCTGCCACGTCCACCTCTTGGCTCTTCTGGCCAGGCCCTGAGGTCCCTCGTGCTGCATTTTATTCCACCCCAGCACACAAAACACACCATTCCTCTTAAATTGGGGGCAGGGAAAACAAAGAGGAGACTTTGATCTGTCCCAAGTAGATCTCTGCTCTCAGCCCAGTATATAAAAATATAAAAAGCTCAGTATATAAAAATTAAGGAAAGGGAGGAGAGAGAACAGGGAAAGACAGCTAAAGAGCTGAGGAAGGAAGGGAGGGAGGGAGAGAGGGAGGGAGGGGGGGCGACTGGGCCAGGAATATGGGGCAGTGTGGGAAAGCTGCGGTGATTGGCCACAAGCCAAAGAGGCTTAAGGGTCTTGGAACATACCCCACCCGATAGGAACGTTTCCCAAGATAGGAGGAGGGTATGTCCTAAAATACTACCAAGGAGGGCAAATCACATTCATAACTTTCTTCTTTCGGGAAACTGATTAGCATAACATAATGAAGGCTAATCAGCAAAAGACAAGATGCATGTTTCTATAATAGAGGAAACACCCCTCCCCCGGTTTCCCTCCCCCTTCAGTTGACGGGAGGGGACGACCAGTCTGCCCAACTGTTGTGGCCGAGTCCATG